CCTGCTACATTGGACACTTATGGTCCTGTTCCAATTTGGATGCAAATGTGTACAAGTGCTCACAACAGAGTGAATTAATTTTTCGATGAAGGGCAAGTGTGCAAATCTGACATATAAAGTGAATTTCAGGGCATTTCACTCTCAAATCATGTCAATTTGGAGAGGTTTTTGAAGGACTAGATCACCTCCTCAATTCAATGGGCATTTAAAGTGAAAAATGCCATTTTTACACAGCAAAGGTGCATTTGAAGATGCGTATATACAACAATATTTTACATATACACATTATGTTTCTCTTAGATAGAGGCAGCCTAAAGCATGAGTTTACGTATAGTTTACTCAAACGTTTCTGATGGCAAGGCTCCCCATTATTCAAAGACAGCTTTGAATATACATTTTTAATCATTTGTGATTGACTAGATTAAAAGTATTTTTACACACAATTTCTAGTGTTTAATGTTCTGTTATGTTGGAATTTAAAATGGTTTCCGTTATGTCGTGGGTGTCCTGTAAGTCTTTTCGCTATAGTCGGACTTGTACACTTGCCCTTCATCGAAAAATGTATTCACTCTTTTGTACACTTTTGCAACCAAATTGGAACAGGACCACAAGTGTCCAATGTAGCAGGGACAGGTCACAGCTCAGTGGCACAAATAAACACCGTCAGAACATGTCCCAAATGGACTGATGTGTTGACAGATGTTCTGACATGACCCAAATGAATTACACACGCATGTGTGCTATTGTTTGCGCAAGAAGTTTGAGTAAGTTTATTAAGGGTGTGTTTGATATACTAAAAATGGAAAAGTTTCCTTTGTGTTTTTCACGTACAGACAACAATGTTGTCAAAATGATTCGTTAGAAGACCAAAAACTCTATGTATGCCAGGCCAGTAGTTGGCGATGTCACTTCGTTTTTGTAGTTAACACAGAGACTATAATGGTATCGTTATAGACTTGCAGTTTCAGCTTGCGTTTTCAGGCCCCCAAAACTAGTAGGCTAGTTATAAATAAACGTTAACTCATTTCATGTAAATTCGCTTAAAAAAAAAAAAAAAAAACTATTGATATAAGCCTATTATAATACTTTGTGTAGCTGAAACTCCACTTTATTGATTTAGGAGCCGTTTACACGACACTGTTTTCAATATTTAACATTTGAATGAAACTCTTCCAGTAGACTACATCTTTTATGTGGCATTTGTGTCTTTATACAGAATTTGAAGAAAACAAAGAGCCACCTCAGAGCAGCCCAAGCTTGTCTGTGTGAAAGATGCTTTTTGTTAAGAAAATCAGGCTTGTTTTGTTAAGGCTACCTTTATCAAGCTAATTTCGTGAAGTATCAACTTGCCGCTACATTTACATGACATATTATAGTGCAGTGACGGAAATTCTAGGATGAATTATTGATCATAAACCCATTATCTCTAGCATAATTTATTCATGAGCGCATTAACAAGACTAAAACTCTTCAGAATGATTGTTTCTCTATTGTTGTTGCTATTTTAGCCTACTCAAAAGAAAATTCTGAAAACATCATGATTTCATGAGCTTTTGTTTTATTGGCGTTTTGTACATGAAAAGGGCCCCTGAACAACATTTGTTGTATTATTTTGATTTACCGCTTCTTTTCCGCAATCTTGTAAACACTGATGGAATAACTCGTCCCATAATGACGAAGTGGGCACGTAGATAGTCTCCTGTGGCGTCTCTCCGTCTCAATAATAGGTCAACAGCTGTATTTAAAAAATTAATCACATTTCTTGGCAGTCGCAAAGGTTATACGTCGCGTTTGGAGATTCAGCCGGAGCACTCTGATCGGTGGAAACTCTCGGTGGAGATGAGCGGTCTCGGAGCTTCCTTTGATGAAACGAGCATGTAAATGATTTGTGTCTTTTATAGAACCTGTGAGCGCGCTCGGTGGGTGCGTGGAAACAAGTTCAATTGATTGCTTTGCTTTGAGTTTTTAGTGAATGCATTTGCTTGGAACACACAATGTGCACACATACATATCCATCACAGAGCAATCAGACCGGAAATGACATTTAGATATAGGCAACACTTCATAAACATTTTCATAGCCTACTGGGTGCGGATTGTGCAGTGAATGAGTTCACCGTCCCAAATCATCTAGGCCTGTATTCCTGCATAACTGGAGGCTGCAGTTTCAGGACCCCAGTTTTAGGACTGCAGTTTCTGGACCATAATTTTCTGTTACACGCGGTGAACTAGATTTAACCCCTTTCATTGCAAAGATCACAGACGGCACCATATTATTGTTGTTCAGCATTAATTATTTGTTAAAACATAGGCTACACTCTTACTTATTTGATCTATACAACCGATGAGCATGAGCATACTGTGTATGCTGTGTAGGCCTACACTTCATCTGACCTCTGTGATAACAAAGAAGACGCATCTCTTCACAAGAAGCTAATAAACGCATGATTTTGAGTATATGTGGTTTGTGTGTGATTTTGGATATTTTCATATGAAAAAAAAATGTTTACAGTATCGCTAAGCAATTGTAGCCATTAGCTGCATATAAAATGCTAAATATAACATATTTCAACATCTTTTTTTGACTTAAAACCATGACTGAAAAATGATACAAATTCTTGATGGTGGTTTAAAGTGAGCTTAAAGTAAAAGTAATATGTAATATTACCTTTTAAATTGTGTCCTGTAGCTTGCTACTTGCTGTAATCCACCTGCTGCAGGAGATTTTCTATTCCATAATCTTTATATATATATATATATATATATATTTTTTTTTTTACATCTCAGGAAATTATGACAGGCTTAAACACAAAATTGCGGGATCATGTTACTTAAGTTCCAGTACAGTGTTTTTTTTTTTTAAGAGTACCCTGCTTGTAAGTTGCCTATAAAGAACTATAGGCTATACATTGGGAAGAGTCACTTTTTACCTCAGCTTTAGAACTCATACAGTACACAAATAGAAATATGCTGTGTTCGTCATCTCATAAAGATCGTATGAGTTTAACGCACATGAACACAACCAATGTCGTAAATACTAGCGCGAAGCTCGACATTTTCTTTGAGTTGGGGGCGTGTCGGTGAGAAACATGGCGGAATACTACAATACTTAAAGGTATTTAGTAGTGATATGGCATCACAGTCCCGCCCACAGCTGGTGCCGAAAGTAAGAATTCAATACAATTTATCCATTGGCATTTGGAATATAAGCCATAAAAACGTAACCATACATGGTAGACTTAAAACCAGCTACGGCTGTACTAAGCGATTGTATATGCTCATAGAAACGGCAAAAGTTCATGGGGCACTAACCTTGTGTTAAGATAAATGCCTTTAATTCGCGATGTCTTGGATAAGTACTTCATTACCCACAATCCTAATGCATGCATCTTATTGGTGGAAGTCGTGTAACTGTCTGGTTAAACCCCGCGAAGGTCCATGAAGACTGAAGATCATGTAATGACGTAGGGCTAGTTCATTGTTCGCACGTCAGAGGCGCCCGCGCCATTGGATGTGCAGATCCCGCAGCACAGCCTATGAGCAAGCCAGATGCTCAATGTTTTAGCTGTGCAGCTGCAAATGCGTTTTACATATAAGTTTCAGTAAATCGAGGAAAAGGATTTTCCCTGCACATTCACTATTTAAAATTCACTGGAGGAAAAAGTTCACATGGCCGTTGTCAGATTTGGAAGTCACTCAAAAGACTCTTTCACGGTGGCTTTAGTGAGGCGCGGTGGTTTATGGGATGAGTAGTTCCTTTGCTCGGAAATGAAAATGTATACACATGCTTGTACCCTTGACTTTTTTTTGGAGTTTCTCTTCGTTTTTTTTTCACTCGAAATGATATGTTGTATGCTTATGAGTTCAGCCATAGCTGGTTATCCTTAGATATGCTCTAAAACTCTTTCGATATGGATTTTACAAAACGTCAATGGGAGAAATGAATGGAAAATTTACTTCCGGCACCAAAGTTCTCTCGGGCTGTGGGGCGGGACTGTGATGCTCTTGTCAGGCTTTTCTATTTAGCTTACAGCAAAATAAGCTAATTGCCTGCACAGAATATGATGATGGCATTATAAAATAACAACATACGGTATGTAACAATAACGTTTTGATAATGATAACAACGTGGCTTCATACCTGATGCACATTTTCTAGATAAAGAGTTTAAGAACCTTAATTGATGTTTTTTGTGTAATTAAGAGAAAGTCTACACCGCCATCTTACTCTGACGAAAGTGACTTGAATTCACCTTTCGTCGTAAACAGGAATTCCCACCTTATAAATAAGATTTAACAAATAACAAATAATATTAATAATAATAGTATTAATTAATATAATATTTATGGAAAGAATGAACAGAAACATGGCCTGACAAAATTTATTTTACGTAACTGTTGATTTTTTTTTTGTGCCCTGTTTGTTTTTCTTGATCACATTTGATCTGTAACATACTTGATCTGTAACATGTCTCAAGTTGGCAAGTCAAAAGTCATTGAATGAGAGTGCTGCCCCCTAGCGACAATTTAAATACATATTTCCATTTCTGTTTCCTGGAAGTTTATTTTTTAACTTTATTAGGCAGATTTTTTTTTTTTTTTTTTTTTTTTGTAATAGGACTGGATTAATTTCCATTTCCATGGATATGTTCCATATCCAGCCCAAAGTAGTTTAGGGGCTTTGTGTTACAGAACAGTCAGTCACGCTTGTGGGTTTCTCGTGAATATGTGGACTGAAAACAGCAACGTAGCATCTGTGTTGCTGCATAAAACTAGCACCTCTGTTGTTATGTGTGCATGTGCGTAGAGAGTTAGGATGTTGATTATACGGGTGCAGACGTCTTGCCTCCCCTCATTCCTGTTGCCTGTGATCTAAATGGCCTCCTCTCTTTTTGTAAGCACTACCTGGCACGCCATCTCTTTCCTTTCCTTTCCCTCTCTCTTGAATTCTCTGTCTCTCTCGCTTACTCATACCCTTCTCTACCCTCTCCTCTCTTTTCAGGATATTGAGAAGGACCTTTGTCAGGAAGTAGAGGCCCATGGGGTGTTGGGTCGGTAGAGAGACAAAAAGAAAGACTAGAGGATCACCTTTCAGAATGTAGGTAAAACAGATGCACTTTTAAGTTTTTGGACTGCAGGTATCAAAGACCTTTGGGTGAAAGATGGAGTAGCTTTGTAATGAGTGTAATGAGGTGTTTTATTGTGACTTTGATGGTGTTTATATGAACATGAAATTTGTAAGATCAGTGCCTTTGAGAACCTGAAGTGTAAATAATAATTTATGTGTGAGGTGATCAGTGATTGCTTCAAACTGGTGCCACAAGGGTTTGCTAGGGGGTCCACAAAAAAAATAGTTAAAAACAAAACACACACACACACACACACACAGATGTTGATTATACATGTTTATTTACAATTATTTTATTCTATTGATAGCCCCAATTTTTAATATAATTAATTTGCATAATTTTGTGTCTTCATCTCTCTTTATTTGTGGCGTTATGTTGCAAAAGCTGCAAAAAGAGTTGCAAAATTGTTTGTTAATAGATTGCAATCTCGATTCAAACACCCACACACAATCTTATTCTTTTCAACCACACTGTACCATTATTTCTGTGTTACAATAATTGAAATGATCACAGAAGTACTGAGATAAAAGTTTATTACTGGGATGTAAACACTGGTGTACGGTAGCGAACAAAATAGAGGAAATCAACCTATGGATAATGTGACGTTTTAAATTAAGATTCTATCAATTACATTGCTACACCAGTAGGTGGCGACACATGACTGTTATAACCATGTATGCCTATTTGTCACTGAATCATTCATTCAAGAGATTCATGCAGTAATGAAACAAGTGAAGTATTTATCTAGCATGCTCTGTTTTCATTATTTTAAAAACTCTTTGGAATATTTTAATATTAGATTACTTGATATTTATTGTGCAAAGTGCCACACACACACACACACACACACACACACACACACAACAACAACAAATTAAAAGGATATTCTGTTTAGTTTTATACATATAGCTTTAATAATTGGTAGGAAAAAAAACATAAGTTAATACAAGGTAATTATAACATTTTGACTTGAGTCAATTTGACGACAATATATAAGACAATATAAAAGGCAATTATGAAATAATATAATGCAATTATATATATAAATATATATAATATATTTTTGAACAAAAATAATGACTTTATTTCAACTATTCATTTTCTTCTCTGTGGGCAAATTTGCGCTAGTAGATATATGTAAAACCTTAAGCTTGCCATGAAATGTGTCACAAGCTGATTGTCGAGTAAAATTAAATGTATATGATATGTTAACAGCGTGAATTGTTAGTTACCTTTGAAAAAATATCAGCGTGATGAGCCTTCATGTGCCGCTTAGGTTGGTGGTATTCTTTTCACCTAGTTTGTTGCCACATTTACCATCGTTTCCCAATACTATGCATTCCCTTTTTCTTTCTGATGGATTATACTGAAAATATGTCCATAAATCATCTCGTCGTTTCCGACCACCAAGCCTGTTTATTGGTTTCACTGCCATGGTCCTTCGAAGATGTGTGGCCACTGGCGAGTGACTAGCCGCAGCCGCAGGTGTGTTGTTGTTGTTGTTGTGTGGAATCTGGTTTGCGCGCGGCATCCGGGTAGTGGGTGTACCAAAAACAAGGATAGGAAGTGGCAGCATTGGTGATACTTTTTTATAGCTCAAAACAGACAGATTTCACACAAAACATGCAGAAATTACATCCATTGTGAACATCAGACTTGTAATCATTTTCGTTTCCATCTCATCAGCGAAATCTCAAACTCGTCATGTTTTAGTCACTTTAGAGCCATTTTTAGCTATTCACCGTCGCGTTATCATCATTAAAAAAGTGCATCAGCAAAATATTTTCGTTACTGTCATCGTTGATAAACAACATTGATCGCGGAACAAAGATTACATTGCATGTCACAACTTGCCTGTCACCTCCTCCCTGAAGTCAGAAGCTTCTGAGGTCGCTTCATTCCACTATTTCTTCCAGCCTGCTCAATCGTCCTGCCGACAAGCGTCACAACAGTTATGCCCAGGGAGAGTGGAGTGGTTCAGGTGGCTCCCACAGGAATACGTGGCAGATACCATCACTTCTGCGAGCGCCCCCTAAAAAGAGGAAGTTGTGCTTACGCCAATTAGAAGTGGAACCTATTTGTTGAGCGAATCTTCTTTCTGTTAGGAGATCCTGAGAGCGTTTGGGTAATTTTAAGTGCTCTCTTTCATGCAAGTTGGGTTGGAGTAGGCTTTTCTCCACCATGAAAATGATGTCGCCTTGACTCACATCATGATGCAGAAGCATGGAAAGCACGTTCTGATCGTCGGGTTCCTGAGGGAGCAAGAAAATCTGCCTTGCACCCCTCTTTATCCTCTAGGGCGTTATTTCTGGTGCTACTGCACTGCAGAGGCCACCCCTGAGTTAAAAATTATATGTTGAAAAAGTTCTCCTGCTTTCATGGTCTCTACTGTAGGGTAGGGACTTGCCCGCTTTCGGTAAACGAGTTGTAACTGGAATTCGGGCTGGCTACTCTCACAAGCTGAGACCCCGGCCTGGATATGTACCCAAGGTTCCTACCGCTCCCTAAAGAGACCAGGTGGTGAACCTGCAAGAGACAGACCCAGCCCTGGCTTTATTCTGTCCGTCAGCTCCTTTGCGGTTATACGTGCAGAGAATTCAAAGACTTGACCTCAGACTGGCTCTTCTCTATTATGGGAACCAGCTGAAGGGAAGGCTGTTTCCAAGCAGAGGTTTGCCCAATACATGTGGTTGCCTTCATCTTGGTGAAAAAGTTTTCCCAAGGTGCACATGCCCACCTGGATGGTGAGCTCCTCCTAAGTGATGGTATTGTTCCCTCTTAGGCATTGACACAAAGTGGCTCACTGAATAGATGTTAAATAGAGTTGGGGGCTGGACGACACCCATTATGTTCGCTAGAAAACTAGCCTATGTGTCACATGAAGCCAGTTTCAGTGTAAGCCCGTTGTGTCGACTTGCAGCACCATTCCCCTCCTATGGACTGTATAAGTGCGCACTCCTTGCTTCAGTTGAGTTTCCCTATTTTAGCCGAACCCTGTCGAGTTCCTCCATACCATTTGGCAACGGACGTGGCGGAATGTCCAAAGCCAGGCCTATCACTCGTATTCACTATTGGAACCTGTGTAAGGCTAGGTCCATATGCTGTGATCCCTACAATGATCACATGTGTATTCTTTAACGGTACGGCTCCCTGCGGCAAGCCCATGTTATCACTTGGTAGAGTCTCCCCCCTGTCATAGGCTGGAGCCACCCCAGTGAAATTCCATTTGTTGTACTGCCCGGTCTTCCACCCAGTTCATGTGTATTCTCCACATGTTACCTCCCTTCTGGCAGAATGTGGCTTCCGCTGCGTCCCTTCCTTCCATGCACAGGGAACGCTTTCCCAGTGTCCCTGTCCCTTCCCCACCTTAAATTGCCGTGGGATCTGGAGACTTTTGTCTAGGCACTGGAAGGTGGCAGCTTAGGTGATATTTTCAATAGTTATCCCCATTCAGTCGACATCAACTACGTCTGATGTTCTTGACTGAAAGGGTATGTCCTGGTTGTGTATGCAACCCACCATTCCTTGAAGGAGGGAACGGAGGACTTAGTCCCTTTGCCACTACTTCTGGACTACCGCTGACTCCAAGTTATGCTCGGCTCATCAGCGAAAAGCAACTACTGCGTGCATCCACTTCCATATTTATACTCACACCTGTGTGATGTAATCATGCACGCCTTGTTCAATAGTACTTAAAGACGATTGGCTCCCTGGCGTGATCCCAATTCAGTCAACATCGACTGCGTTGCATAGGCAACCAGGAAGTTCTCTAATACTATAGGTGCTCCATTGAGAAGGTACTTCTTGAGAAATTACAGTTCTCAGTGATTCTCCACTGATAAGACACAGTAAGCAGTACCAGTAGATCAGTGTCACTGCAGCATCTTCGATTTATATCAGTAAAGTAAAAGGAGATCGGTACTTCAACTGTAATCTTCCGTCAGAAGAAGAATAAAAACCCAAATTGAAAAAGACCCCTGTTATGGGCTGTGTATGGTGTCTCCGGCATTAAAGTTGTGTGTGTGTTTCTGTGTTGAATAAACAAACGATGTGTTCTGAGCTGTCAGATGTTTGTGTGGCAGCTGCACAAAGATCTGACAGCCTATGAATCAAAAGCAGCCCTGCACCAGCAGCCATTAATATGCAAACAGAGAAGACGGCTTAAGTTTAATTTATATAATATTCCCCAAAGAATCATTATTATTCTAGGGATCTTGCCAGCAACATTTGGCCTATAAAGAAATTAACTTTGTCTCCTTGTTAAGTACACCAATGCATCAAGCTATAATCTCTGCAATAGATGAATCATATTTCATATTACACAAGACGAATGTATTCACATTTCACATTTTTCTAATTTTTCCTGTCTGACCATCTGTATGTATTAAGGCTCAGTAAGATTAATCTCTTGATCCTATTGGAGTAGGAGGCAGGTGTTTTCCCTAATACATCTACGAGTAAATAAGGCCTAGTATCAGGACATAATCCCCTGCATTATTTTTATATCTCACACCAATGTCACAATTTCTATTGTGTGTGCGTGTGTATGGGAATAGTGGGGGTAGCATATGCCCAGACATTTCCTAAGAGCAGCATGTGAATATCAGTGGTGTATGAAATTGCTTGGAATGTCTCCGGATCATAGTGCTAAATCATTTAAAAGCTCCTTCCCCTTGAAACGGTATCCGTCTTGACAGGAAAGTATGCATACATCTCTGTGTGCATGTGTAAGAAATGGGGGGACTGGAGGTGTGTTTAAAGAGAGAATGCAAGGGTCAATGCAACTGTGACCTCTATCTATTGCTGCATTACCCGGTCCTTTGTGATTTATCAAATCAGCTTCTCCTTCATAACACAAATTGATCGAGTATCAGCATAAGTCTGTCGTCAGTCAAATCCGTTAAAGTCTGGTCTCTTGTTTGTTGGCTTGTGCGTATACTAATAATAGTATGTATTCTCATTGCAGTGCGCAGCTCTCACAGATATAAACATCTCTTCGGAGACACTTTAGGAATACTGATTGGGATGGCCATTTGCAATATGAAAATGAATTCCTAAGCCCTTCAGTTGCCTTCATCTGGGACTGATCTCAGGTCAGCCCCCACAAGGCTCACGCACGCTGTGTAATTCATCCCTCCGTATTATCTTAATAATGATAAATTTGTTGCCTTATGAGTAGAGATGTATCCGCTGATGGGGCTTTGGATGTTATTTAGGAAAGGGTTTGGATCACTTTTGCCCTCTAATCCTACGGATAATGAGGGGGTCTGTCACCATCACAGAATTGTATTGTAATTGTTACGAGCAATGTACGGTACATGTAAGAAATATTACTGATTATGTAGTGCAATCTTTGCATTGTTTTTGCATTGTCTTTGCATTCTCATCTTTTTCTGTTCAGTGTTGAAGCTTAATAGTTAAAAAACACAATCAATCAATCACATTTATTTATATAGCACATTTAAAAACAACACATGTTGGCCAAAGTGCTTTACATATACCAAGATCTAAGAAATGCATACAACCTAAAAAAGCATAAGACCAAATACAAAACAGTTAAAAAAATCACTGTAAATTGAACAATTGAACACAAGTGAGAATAAATGGGTCTTTAAGTGACATTTGAAAACATAGAGATCATGTACAATGACTTTATTTTAAATGTAGAATAGCATTAATGTCTTTAAAGGCTTTTTGGAATTTTTATAATATCTATTAAGGTTATCAAACCTCCCTAGGAACAGTCTTATGTTAGTCTGTCTTAGCTTGTGTGCGTGCTTAAGTTTAGATCTGGCCTGTCAGGCTAATTGATGACTACTGGGTGCATTTCGGAAGCCAAGGGCACGGAAACTCCTCGGGAAAGTCCCTGTTGCGCGTCTCTTGGGCCTCTCATTGAACACTGAAAGACTGGCAGGGACACTTCAACCCTGCAAGAAGTGGCTGGGTTACACCCACCCTCCTTCCTTCCTCCCAGCATGCATGTGGCCTCCTTACCAGCAACAAGGTTAACATTTGTGTCTGGGGAGTGGCAGTGCCTGCTTTCTGTCTGTCTTGATGCATGCTTGAATCCTATGTTTGTGTCTCTCGCCTCTATCGTTTGGAAATCAGAGTAATCTAGTTTTCTTTTCGCTCCTTGTAATATGTTTTTAATTATGAGCCTTTGGGGCCTTAATTTTCATACAGACTTCATGGTAAAGTGTTTGTTCAAACATATCCAAGCGTGCACACTTTTGCACGAATCATGACTCCCGGCTGGCATTCATTAGGGCTTGTAATTGATTGCACATGGCGGCTGAATATGTGATATCATATGTGACTAAAGATATCATCAATTTCACAGATGTTTTTGGTGAAGACATATTAGATAATAATGTACAGTAGTGGCTCTGTAGAAAACTATTATCTTTAGAAGTAAACCAAGAAATGTCAATAATAGCAAACCTGCAAAATATTAGATGTTTTTTTGTTATAAAGAAACTGAGAAATAAATATTTACTGTACCTTTGTAATTTAAAAAGGCACAATTTTGTCAAACCAGCATAAAAAAAAACATTTATAGTATTATTCATATAATCAAATTATGATTACGGTCTGTGTTATTGACAGGTCTGTATAGTGATGTCACATAACATCATTGATTCTACCTAAGTTAACCACTACAAAACAAACCAGTGTCTGCCGGCACTTTCAAATTCCTGATTGTCAAATTAAGTGTTATTGATAAACAACTGTTTCTCTGTGCAAATCGCTTTCATGATGTCACCATATTCCAAAATCTTCTCACTTGTTCTCAAGCATCACTAAAACAGTGTTATGAATATTCTTTGCTTTTTTTATGTGACTTAAAACACTGTTTATATGTGGTTGGGATGCCACAGTGCAGAGAAATATTGTACTGTGGATGGGGACTAAATTATACTGTGAATGTGGCATGATAAATGTTTGCACAAACTCAAGAAATGAATAAAACTCAAGAAATGAAGAAATGATATTAAACCCTAATGAATATGAAAATGAAACCCGTGGATGTCTGCGTGTGTGGTGTGATCTCCATACCGTAGGTGAGAATGAAAAGTTTTCAGAACCTGTAACCTCTCTTCCCCTGCCAGTAATCTCCTCAGAACCCTGTAATCCTGGGCGCATGCAGATGCCGCGACAGGAATATTGCTGTTCATATTCTTAATCTGCTCTCAAATGCCTTTCTGTTCCCTTGACGAAGCGCCCCTGCTCGCCTTGTTCTGTGGGGAATTAAGTGTTCTTCACAGGATTCATGCAGAGGTAGATATTCTGGTCATGATGGAGCTTTAGGAACACCCGTACTCATGCGAGATCTCCAATGGCGCATTTCTCATAAATAGAGCAAGTAAAAGTGTGGAGGTATATATATATATATATATATATATATACAGTATATATATGAGAGAGAGAGAGAGAGAGAGAGAGAGAGAGAGAGAGAGAGAGAGAGAGAGAGAGAGAGAGAGAGAGAGAGAGAGAGAGAGAGAGAAAAGAGAAAGACAAGGAGGAAACTGAAAGCACTAGCATGATGAGTGCCTGCATTTGAAATCTAAGGAGGAGTAAAGCTGGTTTAAGTTGGCCTGGTTAATCTGTGTGCCCGTTTCATGTGACAGAGAGAGACAAGCCTGCACACCTCATTGAAAGGCTGAATATTATGCATTAAAGGCTTCAGTAGACAGGTAGACAGATAGAAAGATTGAAGCAGGCAACATGCAGTGCCTCATATCAATGGATAGCACGACATAGCCTACTGTAGAGCTTTGAGTCTGTTTGAGGACCTTTCCTTTAATCACCCTAATGATTCGCATGACATATTATAATATCATGTACGTTAAAATGTTAACAACATGTGTTATTATAATAACCTGTCTGATTCATATTCTTAGTATGGATTATTTGTTTCTGAAAGCTTGTCAAAATGCTTTAAATTAGTTTAATCTCATAAAGCTTTTTTAGCCTGGTTTGCCTTACTGTACATGTTTCAGGCAGATTGTTACCGGTTTTCTACCCTCAAGAAATATAAATGGTACATTATATATTTTAAATAAATAGTTATACTATGATAGATCAATACAGGACATTGAAGTTGTTTTGTAAATTCTCTCAACCAAAACAAAAAAGTTTATTTAATTTTCTTTATTTTCTCTTATTCTTTTTTTATGGATTGATTATGCCAGTCAGTTGTTGCTGCTGTGTGTGTGTGTATGTAAGCAGGTGAGTCCTGTGTGCCAGCGGAGTGTAAAATGTGGCACTTGGATTGACACCCCGATGACAGATACCAGTGAAACTCACTCTCGGTTCAGACACCTGAGATTATTCTCAGGGAACTGAAGCTATAAACAAAACATTGTCAATGGCCGCACTAGTGGATTGCCGTCCTTTTTTTTTTTTCTTTTGTGTTGCCATTTCTGCCCCACCCCCTGTTATTCAATAAAACATGGAGGAAGGCTAAAATGTAGTGAAGAGAATATTTTTTTTTGTGCTGTTACTTGAAGAAACACTCCCTCAATTATAAATGTATTGAGAGAAGCCTGTTCAACTCACTGAGCGGAACTAGGGGGCGATGGTGTGTGATGGAAATTCATTCTTTTGAAACGACATGCTGTGCATTTGCATGTGATTCTTCTGTCTGAAAGTGTTTGTTTGTGTTAATTCTTCACCCCCCCCCCTCCCCCCAAAAAAGCATCCCATGTCACAAGCTCCAGCCCTGCAGAGTTAGTGAACAGTGAATGGAATACGGTTGGTTTGGTTCGCATGCGTGTTTTATGTTTATATTGGATGAGTTTTTTCCCACTCACGGCTTCGAGCCACACTTCTGAGGATCCACTGAATTTTCTCCGTCCCAATTTCAACGCCTCCCATGGAAAATGCTGATTAGTCTTTTACTTTGTATCCCCTTCTTCAGGTCACCTTGTAAGGAGGGTCGTCTGGCGGATGGGTGCGTGGAGGGGGAGGCAGCCAAGTGCCACACACACACACTCCTTAAGACTTATGAGTGCATCATAACCTTGACCAAGACAATCTGTTCAACGACACTTAGCGAAGATTCCTCATGATGTCCCTCAGAGCCGCTGGGACTCGGCTCCTCTGTTCTTTCTGAGCGCTATCAGCTCAGCGCCAGATCGCCGCCCTTACCGTTCAACGGCCATTACTCCATTTGCAAGATAAATCTGGACTGCCGTGTCAAATCAATCACAACTGTCATTTCATCCACTCAGACCACAGCACTAAATTAAAGCCTTTTTGGCCCATATGCATTCCAAATAGTCATCAATTCTCCGCGGTACATTCATTGTTTGCTTTGACAGCTGCAGGCAGGTAACGAATGATAGGTAGTTTAATTTTGAGGCAGTGTGGGTCGGCATGGACGCTAGGCGGCAGTTGTTTGCGTCCTTTTTCTGCACTGCAATTGTACGTCTCATGTTGTGTGCACTCCATCTTCCCCTTCTTGGTGAGAGGGAATGCTATTATATCACGTTCCCCCTTTCTTTTTTGCATGGCTGTCGTACATGTGTCGACATTGTCTGTTAGCAAGCGTCTGAAATGTATATCTGGGTAAATATTTGTATCACCAAGGACGTGGGTAAGAACAAACAAGTGTTCCTGTAGGCCTTTGGTGAGGGACCCTACAGGCTTACAGCATGAAAACAGTCGTTCTGTTCTCAGGCCACGGTTCTGATCCCTGTCCTCCTCCTTGTTAGTCTCTAATAAACATGGCTTGTCCACTAAAAGATGACATGGAAAGGAAGATTTAGTCAGCAGCTGCAGGCTTTATTTTTTTATTATTTGAATGTGTTATTTCTTTTTGACATTGGATTAGGGATGTTAGTTTAAATAACATGTCTTTTCAGCCGATTGGGGTCACCGTGGACTGCGTGGCAGACGTCATTTTTGGGATGCTGGGGAAAATTCCACAAATGTTCGCGATTGGTAGTCGAAAAGATTTTGTCTTTCTATCAAATATATTGTAAACAGCAGATAGCACAACATATTTTGTAAACACATCCGGACACTGGAAGATAATCCTCACCCATGTGACTCATTTACAAGTGCTGTTGGTTTAGCTAATGCAAAAACAAGGATCACTTTACTTTCACAGCCAGAATTTTGCCTCTCTCACTCTCTTTTTGACTCACCTTGCCAAATGTGCTATTGTGTTCTGCAGAGATGAGAAATGAGGGGCTTTCTGTGCTGCTGATACCTGTTATTTGATATCACGGCCTTGCAACAATTCATCCTAATGTGCTGTTTAAAGGATTTGTTGGCTCATAATGCACTGATATTAGTTTAAAATATTGCTACTTTGCAAAGCAGCGCAGATGGGCCGGGCTGATGCAGCAGGCGTGAGGGAACGGGCTGAAACTCTCAGATATGAGATGTATTAAATGCACGAGTGATTCTGATGCGTTTTACTGTAATTGATTCTTTTCAAAGGTGTCTTCTCACTTTTCACCACCTCGCTCGCTTGCTCTGCCGAACTCTCTCTCTCTCTCCTTCCCTCTCTCTATATCACTCGCACATTCTCTCTCGAGCATTTTTAAGAAGCACTGGAGTGTAACACTGTTTAATATGATACATTTGCCTATTTCTTTAGGTCTTGACTCCTAATGGCTAGTTAAAATGAACGTTTTGTAATCATTTACTCCCACTGTCATTCCAAACCTGTATAACGTTCTTTCTTCGGTAAAATACAAAGGAAGACATTTTTAAAAATGTAATTTTGTATTTTTGTCTATGCAATAACACTCTAGTGAGGTCTAGTGTTGGTTTGATTTGTATTTTAAAGAAGAAAGAAAGTTATTGTTTGAAATGACATGAGGGTGAGTAAATAATTACAAAATTGTCATTAACCAGCAGCTTTATTGTATATCATGTGAATGATCTGGACCAATATAATTAACAAAAGAATCATTAGTGTGAGTGTAATAAGGCGAGTAACGAGTAAGTTCTCCATCAATCAGTGTTCCTTAAACTTTTCATCTCCTTACCCAAATACAATAATATTACATTTTTTTTGTCTAAGAGGGTTCTCGCTCACCAGCTCATTGTTGTTGTTAATTCTTCAAGTTGATTTTTTTTTTCTCGGTGTCAGCGCCAGGGCAGAAGTGTCTGTATAGTGTAACAATTTAAAATGCAAAAAAAAAAAATAGAAAATTCTAGAGCCATTACCTACATGCACTGTATTCGTAAACAAGGCAAGTTATTTTAGAAATGAGGTAATTAAGCAGTTCCAAAATGAACCCGGCCCCGGCTCTGAGCGCTGTCATTTGCATGCCTTTGAATATACTGCTTGTCTCTAAGGGGGTTTCCTGCTGATGAGATTCTCAACGCCATGCCGTCTTTGTTTTAAACACTGCAAATAAGCAAACAAAAGCATCCTGAATGCCAGACTGCTTTCTTTCTTTCTTTCTTTCTTTCTTTCTTTCTTTTTGTAAATGACCTACAGACCGATCCTGCCTAAAAAGGATGTTTCCCTGGCCAGAAAAAAAGGAAAGAAAAACTTGCTCGTGGTGATTAGAAAAGAAGAAACAGGAAAAACAAGAGAAGTTGAGTCACAGATTTTTTCTTTTGGTCTTAATTAAAAAGACCATACATCAGTGAGCCAGTGCCTCTATTCATCCAGCTGATTAGGGACATGATAAATGAATGAAGGAATAAACAGGGTGTCGGCAGAGAGAGGGAGAGATGGATGACTTTTGATCTGAAGAGAATGGAGAGGTACAGTTAACCCTGGCTCTGGGCCAAGGCCTGTAGTCCCCCTCTTCGCTCACCTCACCCTTCGGGCCTAACTCAAGCTGACACACCCTGCCCCAGCTCGTGACCCTGCCTCCACTTCTATTTATTAGGAAATCAACACCCTTAAAGGGAGACGCACACTTCATCACTATGCATCGCTGTACCTCCGACCACTGCCTCGTTTAGCAAATGGGCGAGCAAAATAATAATATGACCATTTACAAGGTATTCTAAAAACGCTGATTTAATGAATGTTTTTGGACCTCTGTTGGATGTAATGCTCAGAGCTCAGATGAATGAGTGCAATAGAATGTGTAGCACTTGTTGTGAAGATGTAATTATGAATCAGACACGGTGAAAACAGCTGCCGTATTTGAAGAGAGTCGATTAAAGGCCGAAAGCGCACAATGCTCCGTTAAATTCAACCCGGCTCCTTTCAGTACTAGAGCCGGCCAGGCTAATGGGTTCATTCAAGTGTTTCACCGCGATTGAAAGAACCAGTGAGTGAGAAAGAGAGAGAGAAATGAGGTGGAAAGATTGTGAGATCATTGTGAATTACAAACTATTAAAGGCCACAAAGGAGATATCATTTAAGATAGCTCTTTTTTTCTTTCTTTCTTCTGAAAACTGGGTTCAAACTGGATGCAGGGCTGAATGGTGCTGCGTAGATAAATAGTTCATTTTTCTTTGTATTTTTACAAAGATTAAAGTGCTTCTCCTCATCACCTTTCATTTGTTCATGTATTCACCCTCTATTCAAGCAGACGTTGTCTTTCATTAGAAAATACGCAGATAAATAAATTAATAAAAGACTGAATTGGTTTTTCAATTACTGGAGTCGAGCCGCACGCTGGCTAAACAAAGATATTCAGGCAGGAACCAACCAGACAAGCGGAGATTATACATTACCTTAGTATGTGATTTAATAACTCACATTTTCTTTTATTGTTTTTCTATTTTCATTCTACGGAGCTTAGGCGCGCACTGACTGTTTAATAGTCAGAGAAAGATGCGTTTCTTTCCACAGTCAGTGTTAACAAAGACGTCCAGAATGAGGTCGGTGTGCTAGCTGCAATACAGAGAATCCTCAATCAGAAGACTTGAAATTGGATTCATAGTTCACTTCATGGAAAGCAGCAGAAAAATATTAAATCATTTTCTTTATTGGATTAAATTAATTATGGAGAGACTGCATATTAGATATAGGCTAAAAGAGCTTTTAATGTGCTCAATGAGAGCCTTCAGCCTTTCTTGGAATAGGCATAAATCTATCTCTGCTGCTTATTACATTCTGTTCCCTTCCACTGCCTGCCTTTATTTAAAGTATTAGTCATTTTTTCAACACAATAAATGCCCTTCAAATTCCTAATCTAGCTTCCGCTGTTCTCCAAACACAGACATATATAAGCAGGCAAATGTGCACTCAAACACGCACACATTTTTCTTTGTTTATGTGTTGGGCTTTAAACTGAAGGTATAGTATGGGTGGTCACACTTGTCACTGACCGTTCTTCATGTTAAATTGATGCGTCTTATCTATTTCTCGAGCAAATCAGTTTCTTTTTTGTTTGCAGTGACCATATCATCTTTTGATGTAGGACTTTATGAAGCTTGAAGTGAAAATCTCATACTTGGGGATTTGTCAATGATGTCATCGCAATTCTGTTGCTGAAAGATGATTGATGAGCATAACAATATGCAGGTAATTAAAATGCCAGTCACACCTAACCAGTAAGAAGAAAATTTAGCTGAAACAACATCCAACCGAAGGGATCGACTCTTTCAAAGCGAATCTCACTTTCAGAGATAGATGACACCTTGTGTAGATGTGTGTTATAAAGGAAGAGAGGGGAAAAAACAGTCTTTAGTTTCGGTATCATCCTGTCTGATGTCATAGTATTAAACTCTCAGTATGCACATTCTAGAGATGCAATTAAAAGAACGAATGTTCGGTTTTGGCCCCTTTGGCAGCAGTAAGTTTTAACCTTGCAAACAGTGAACACAGAAGGCATTTGTCGAAACAAAGGAGAGGACCCAGACAGCAAACTGACATTGAATCAACGTGGAAACGACGTCTCTCATGACATTGAAACAACGTTGATTTTGCTCATCGAATTAACGTTGAACCAACGTCAGACGCGGCATTCTTCAAAGCTAAATGAAAATCGAAAATTGGTTTGCTTTCATAACGTTGAAACAACGCGTTGATTTCAAGTTGATTTTCCGTTAGTTTTGAAAGAATGACGCGTCTGACGTTGGTTCAACGTTAATTCGATGAGCAAAACTATGTCAGATCAACGTTGTTTCGATGTCATATTTCCACGTTGATTCAATGTCAGTTTGCTATCTGGGGAGGAAGATACACTGACTAATTGATTCTTATTATTTATTACACTGTAGTCAAAGTTACACGCTCAAACACACACACACACACACACACACGGAGACATACACAATCACTATGGAAGTT